TCCAGTCCACAACCCTGCAGGCCCATGAGCTCACCGGAGATGGATCCAATGGGACTCCTGAGCAGCCCTCCTTGTGTATGCTCATAGGGAAAGCCAAGTGACACCACACTGAAAACTGGGCGCAAAACAGCCCCTAGCGGTCATGATTTATTACACACATTGCTCCCTTCCATCTCTATGCTCTATTTATACCAATAGATTTGAGACAGGTCCCCTGCAGGGGGATCTGTGTCCAGAATCCCACTTGACCTTCTGTATTTTCTTTATGACATGAAACTCTTGATGGAGGAAGGGCACTGGCTAATAAAAAACTGCTTGGCCCTGATGGGTTAGAACAGAGGGGGGTGGAGTAAACAGAACAGAATGCTGGGAGGAAGAGGAAGTGAGCTCAGATGCCAGGCCACTGCTCTCTGGGGCAGATGCGATGAAGCTCTGACCCAGCATGGACGTAGGCTAGAATCTTCCTGGTAAGCGCACCTCGGTGCTACACACATTAATAGAAATGGGCCAGGCAGTGTTTAAATGAATACAGTTTGTGTGTTGTTATTTGGGGGTATAAGCTAGCCGGTGGCTGGGAGCCGGGCTGTGGGAAGAGGCCTGCAGCTCCTACTACAATCCATAAGCAATAAATAAATTCTACCCTATTCTCTCTCTCTCTCTCTCTCTCTCTCTCTCTCTCTCTCTCTCCCTCTCCCTCTCTCTCTCTCCCACCCCCCAGGTAAATAAAAGCACTCAGCAAGCTCATGCAAGTTCTATGACCCCTACCTAGTTCCCCTGACTCACCTGAACTCAATGCAACAGATCAGAGTTTACCGCTGTCCCTCTCAACCACATCTTATTGTTATTAATCCTTTCAAAGCCCTCCCCTCCCACACTCCCTCTTACAGATGTCATAAGATGCCCTAACTGCTTTCTCATATTCACACAGTGCTGGCTTCTAAACCTGACTCTGTTATGAGTTTGCAAATCTCATAACACCTGTTGGACAGGGCTTGTTTCCATAGGTTTTATTATTATTATTATTTGCTCCTTGCAATGCCACAGCCTACTATATGCTTTCTGAGCCTCTGTGTATTTATCAGTTTCACAAACTGTCTTTCCCCCACTGGCCCACCGAGCACGAGGCACTTGATTTCCAAGGCTGACAGAAGATAAGAACAGAGGCAAGGCAGAGCCTGACCACAAAGGAGGAATGTGTGTGCCAAGGTGGTGATGGGAACAGTGACACAGTCATATACGTTAGCCTAACAACCAGCTGGATTTTTAAACTGACGCCAATTAAAGGCCACAATGTGCTTAAAACTGAACGTTTCTTTCACAAACTTGGGACAACCAAAGTGGCTAGTGTCCTCTGCTGGAAATTTCCATTTGAAATCTCTTTCTGAAAACAGTAGCAGGGAATACGGGAGCCCACCCCCTTTTTTAAAAAATGAATAAAGGAAGGAAAACTAAAAAGCATCACGAAAATCCAGCCACCTCCACGCCGAGCTTCATTTAGCTTGGCAGAAGCATCCCAGCCCAACTTGGGCACACACAGAAACCCACACCAATGCCAAGGGAGAGTAATGGACTCAGATCCCATTCTGGACGGAGAACCCACTCTTCCCTCGCTCTTCATGCCTCTCCACACTTGGTCCTCACAAGATCCAGCGAGGCAGCTCTAATTACCCGTACTTTGCAGATAAGAAGCTGGAGGTTGGAAAAGATAAACAACCTGTCCAATCTGGCACTGCTAGCTCAAAAGGCAGAAGTGGGATTCCAACCAAGGATGTCAGGCGCCAACCCTCACTCTTTCCCTCAGGTCCCATCGCCTCCCAAACACAACCCCCCTTCCCCATCCTGGCTGCTTCAGGACCCTGCCATCTCTTCATCATCATCGATAAATATTTATCAAGGACCACTGCCGACATAGCAATGCTCTTGTTTCCACAGCAACACGCAGTCAGAGAGTCATGGGAGTATCCCGTGCTTGAAAGAACGATGCTGTAATGTCCTCTGATCGTTGCTCTGAAAGGTGGCAGCTACACTACTACAGGCGACACCGTCTCGGCTGGCAGTGTGAAGCCTGTGGAAACTGCTCAGAACAAACAAGAAGGAAGTGAAATGGAAGGGAAGGCTGTACGGTGGTCTGCATTTATTTCGTGTTTGCTGTTGTTGGCGGAACAGAATCAAAGCCAGGTTTTCACATTAATTGTTCTTTTATTAGGAAACAAATCAAGCAATCCAGAACAGAAAGTAAAATTCAACTGTACTGAAAAACGGTTCCCCAGAGGTGTCTGGCAGCAATTATCGAGTTAAATGACTACATTGCTTACAACTGTCACCATGAGCCAGTCCCCTTTAAGATCTGGGTTTAACTCGCAATACTGATAATAAATAGACTAATTATCCCCTTATCTGTTTACTTAATCATCTACTTCCCTCATGCCAAATCGGGTTTGCTGTTTACTGACTATTATTATAATACTTTTTCTTTTACTATCATCCCTCACCAAAAAATAAATAAAATAAAATATTGGTGGCTCATGAAGCATATCAGCGTGAGGAAGGAGTAAATTGCCTTTGATGACAGCTTCGGACTCCGGCTTTTGGACACTATAACCAACAGTCACAGCAAAACCCATCATCCCTCTGTGTCCTAGATGTAAGCTTACAAATGGAAATTGCTTCCGAGACCGGGGATCTTCAGATCAAAGGAATATGGAGAACATACTACTGGGTTTTAAAATGCATTATTTACTCAGACTTGCCGAAAGTTTAAAATAAGATGCTTCAAAAGAGACCAAAGTTATAATCATAGCGAATTTGGATTCCAACAATACTACAACAAGGAATAAAATAAGAAGATAAGTCCGTTCTAACGGGTTAACAGTTGCAAAACAACGCATGGAGATTTACAGATGTTCATAAGGAAAACACGGGAAGAATCTAGTTTAAAACGATCTAGTTAGCATTACCGTAGAGAGGGGATGAGACTTGTCTAGAAAAAAGATCCCCATTTCCATAAATGAGCGGGGCTTAGAACGCACCAAGTCACCAAGACAAGCTAATCCCACTCCTTTAAGGAGCCCGGGAACAGCGCAACCGCTTGCTAAATATATGCTATTGTAGCTTTGCAAAAGCTATGGGCCCAGGTAGAACCAAGGAAAACATATGGCGCCTTCACAGTCAATTTCTTCCCAAACTGTACTCCACGATTGCTTTTCTTCCCCGTGTGTTCCTAACAGCAAACAAAGGAAAGGTGCTTCCTCCTCACACTTCCCTAAATGTTTTAACAAAAGGCTGCTGAATAAACACATTACTCATTTAAAAATTGAACCGAAGTTCTGTCCCTGAGATGAAAGCGGCTCGATTTGCATTTAACAGCTGTGGGCGAGCGCCACCTTGCGGGAGCATGAGGAACGGACACGCATTCAGCCCTGGACTCCTGTCTGGAGCCGGTTCTGGGTTACAGCTGCTAACCCAAAAAAGGTCTGAGACTCGTGGTGGAATGTTTTCGATTCGGTTCCTGCTGCGGGAACGTGAGTACTCGTGCGCTGGCCAGCCAAGCCTTGGAGAATACTTTAATCAGAATCATAAAATCATACCCGGGTCCTCAGGACTGCCCAGAGCATCCTTCTGCCACCTCCCTAACACAGCACACCTAAGGCAGACCCCAAAGCTAAGGAAAAGAGCTGCGTAGCATCTTCAGAATGGTGCTGCGGCTGCCTCTTTTCTCTCTCTTGTTGTCCTAGCCTCTCAGCATCACAGGCCTTAAAAAGAGAGTCTTCCTCAACCAACTTCCCTGGCACGGAAACAATCCGTCCTTTCCCAAGCATCCTGTGTCCAGTTTCCATTTTAGCATCCAGCCGGGGAAGAAAGCCTAAGACATTTCCAACAAAGCATCGCTCCGGAAGGTCTTATTTCAAATGTAGCCAGTTTAAAGGCCTTCACTTCCAGCAGGTTCTCTGTCTTTCCTTTCTCTTTCTTCCTCCCCTGATTTCTTATGTGAGCACAGCTGTTGCTTAGCAATCCAAAAGGAGCCCTTTCCTAAGTCCCGAGGACTTACCTCAACCTGCCCCCGACCCTGCAATATCAGCTTTGTGTGGTCCTTTCGGAAACCAAAGGTGCTAAGAAACTTTGAGGTGATTTTGAACTCGGAGGTATGCCTACATCGCCTCCCCACCTCTCCTTCCCTCTTTGGGGGACTCCGGTGTGGAAGACCTACCAATGGGGTTTTAGTGATTAGATAGACCCTAGGTACTGGTCTTCTCAGCTTAACTCACCACTAGGAAGACACCGGAAACACTCTAGGGAACTAGCTGACTGCCTGTGGGCAAACCAAAACACAGTGTCCCGAAGTTTTCAGAAGCCCATTAGCTCACTGATCAAAGCCACTGGACTTAAAGGACCTTAGTAAGGTAACCCATTACTCTGGATAACGCCACGAGGTGAATGGGGCTTTGCTGTGCGGGTCACTCACAGAAAGACTCCCATGGGAACCTCCAGGGGCTAAGGACAGGCGAAGGGGAGCAGCGCGTTTCGAACAAGACTGGATGCTCTTTAGTGTCTCCGAGGAGAAAGAAAAAGCCACCGCCCTGGCAGCCTGGGCCTGCTAGGGAACTGTGTTCCCCACTCCAAGAGCGCGAGCAGCCCGAGAAGCTGCCGGGGTGACAGTGCTCCCCGCCGGGAGAAAAGCGGCGCCTCATCCCGCCGCCCCAAAACACTCGAGTGACAGGTTCCGACAAGTGGGAGGCAGCAAGTGGAAATATTCGCAACAACCGCGGAAAGTTACTCCCGCCCGGGGGTGGGGGAGAGAGGCAGGAAAGTAAGGCGACAAGGGGACCAGGGGGGAACTGGCGCAGGACCTGGCACGCCTGGACGAAGCAACTGCGTCCAGAGGCTGGGACCAGACTCGGGCCACTCGGTCCCAGCCTCTCCTGCCCGTCGTACCCAACTTTCTCCTCAGAAGCTGCAGGGAAGGGCGCGGGGCCCGAGGGGAGTCGGGCGGTCGCACTCACCTGCGGCGCTCTGCGCTCGGGCGCCGGGCAGCGGCGACCGCTGCAGCCCCAGGAGCAGGAGCCGGAGCAGGCAGAGGGCAAGCGCGCCGAGGCTCCCCATCCGGACGGCGAGCAGCTCAGCCCCTTCCCGCGGGCGCCGGGTCCGGGACTCGAGCGGGCACGGGGTGGCCCCGCATCGCCAACGAGGCTGCTGGCAGTGCGCGCCGCTGGGCTCCCCGGGCTGGCTCAGCTCTGTCAGCAGGAGCCAGCGCTGCTGCGCTCCGAGCCCAGGCGCGGCGCGAACTGAGGCGCGAGGCTGGGCGGGGGCGGGACGCGCGGGCCGGGGGGCGGTGTCCCCCGAGTCCTAACGCCGCCGCCGTCGCCGTCGCCCGCCCGGGCGCTCCGCCTCGGCCGCGCACACACACCCTCGCGCGCACGCCCGCGCCTGGCACACGCCCGCGGCAGCCACTCGCGGACTCCCCCACGCACCCTCTCCCGGGCTGGCCGGCTCAGGGCCGTTCGCGCAGTCACGCGCATACACACATCGCTCTTGCACCCACAGGATCCGCGGGGTACTCGCCGCTTTGCCCCACGCCACGCCGCCCAGCCGAGCATCGTCTACAGGCTACCCTGCGGGGGCGCAGGTACGAGGCTATGGGGGAGGAGAGAAACCTGGAACAGCCTTTGAAGTAGGGGTGGGGGAACAGGTGAGGGGGGGTACAGTGAGAGATGGAGGGGAAGGGAACAGCTGATCAACTCTGGATGCAGCGGGGCTGTGAATTTTGGGAGGGGGTGCTTCTTGCCAAAGCTGGGTACCGCTGTTGAAGGGTCTCTGGCACACCCTGAGATTCTCCCTTATATTCATATTCTCTCTCCTTCTCTTTCCCTTTCTCCCTTTCCCTCCCTCTCTTTCCTCTTCCCTCATCTAGCAATCCAACACACCCCCACGGTAACCACAACATCTCTTTCTCTTGTCCCTAACCCCGTGCCACCCCCACACAGGTGTGGGGACCTCACCCCCTTCTCTAGCTGCCTCCCCTATTCTTCCTTTCTTAAGAAATAGAACCATAGAGCTTTTCCCTTTTTTGTCCTTGTCTGAACAAAGACCTGGTTGGGGCTGAAAACCTAAAGTCATAGATCATAGGGCAGTGCCTGTCACAGCCTTCAGGCCTGGGCTCAGGGATCCCATGGAAGAGACTGCCACCAGGGTGAGGATGAGAGCCTTGTATCTAAAAGCCAGGAGGACACCCAGAGGTGCTGAAGGGACTCCCACTTTGTAAGGACTTTTACCTGTCCAAAGCCTCCCTTCCCCTCCACTCCCTTGCATCCCAAATCACAAGAGGGAGCTGCTAGATGGACTCCAACCCAGAGTTCCCCGTACCCCACTTTTGGGGTGGTCCCTTCCTGGCTACATTCAACTTCCAGGGGCTCTGGAATGGAGTGACTTTGGTAGTGAACGTACACAGAGCCTCACTGGTACCCAGGTCTGCTTAGGAAGACAATTTTATTGAACATGAGCTCATTTATGTCTCCTGGCCCACACTTGGCTTCCAACTGGCTCAGAACTACCTACCCCCACCTCCCCCAGCCATCACTTCCCTGAAGATACTAACCCATCCAATGACCAGCTCCCCCCTCACTTGCCTGGTCAAAGCACTCTCCCAGGGGCGAGAACCCACTTCCCTCACTCCAAATCCTGCTTCTCAGCCCCTCACTCCAGGGAAAGGGGTATGTGGTCTGTCTGTGCGGAGGAGCCTAGGAATTAGACCTTTTGCAGGCCACCTTGGAGGTCCCTAAAATTTTTGCTAATATTGATGGTGCACTTGACTGGGAAACACAGCCTTTGCTAGTCTCTGGTGCCACAGGATGCTTGGCCCCTGGGAACAATGGGAATGGAAGATCCCTTCTGCCCAGAGCTAAACCACCAACTGTTTGATCCATCCAACCTCTGCTGAGGCCTAGCCTTAGGTGGATGAATTACAATGCAGCCTCTGGAAAGAAACCGGACTCCATCCCACATCTGTGATTCAGTCCTGGCTGATGACAAAGACTGACCCAGAAGAGATGGAGGCGGTCTCTAAGCCGCTAGAGAGTTTGGTGTCATGCCTATAACTTGTCCCAGCTCCCTTGGGATCCTGCCAACTCATTTCTCTCGTGGACATTCTAAGTAGAAAATAGCAGTTCTCAGGACCTCTTCCAGGCACACACCCTCCCTCTCCTGCCAGTGTCTATCCTGCAGGAAGTTATATCACTATAGCCAAGGTTCCAAAGTCTGAATGGTGGTCACATGGCCCCCAAGGAAAATAATACTATTTCTTGGTGACAGACTAATGGAACATGACCTGGGTCGAGCACCAAATCTTGCTTGCCCAGGTGCAGGGTCACAAACCAGAGTCCTCTTGCTGTGGTTCTCAGGCCCTGTGCTCCACCTACTGACTGGTGAGCTTTGGCGTCTGGCCTCACTGCAACACTGGGCCAACCATGCCCTCTGCCTGGAAGATCCATCCTGCCTCACTTCCCTCGTACATTCACCCGCAGATGTAAGTTTCTCCTTGAGAAATGTGGTCAGCAAATCTGTTGTCAAGGCCCCCTGTGTGCACCACCTGGGAGAGGCCATCTCTCCACTCATCTGCCCAGGAAGACAGTTCCCAAAATGCATCTGGATGCCTCACACAGAGCTGTGGGCACAGGAGCTTGAAGGAAGGGGTGGCAGGAGGTGGCCCCCAGGCAATGGTGCTTTAAGTATTTTCTTAGAACCAATTTCTCAGAGGGCCAGGGTTCAGAGAGCTCCAGGGTCGGCTCCTAGCCTCCTGCATGAGCAGCCAATTGACTCCATAAACCTGCCCAGCCACAGTATGCCTTCATCTTGGCCCCTAGCTCAAGGCTGACTCTGTACCAGTGCTGAAGGAAGGGTGGGGCCTTGAGGGTGTCTTATAATGGCAGAGGGAGGGGACAGTCCACCGAGCATCACCTCCCAGTGCTCAACCTTGGCCTCTTGGCCTCTGGGCCATTATTCCATAGCCCCACAGGATGCTTGGCAAGGCCTTTAGGAGCCTTGGTGTCCCTATCTGCACAGTGACTTGCCTTCCAACCTTAGCAGGGGTCAGCAGTGTCCAGATGTTGTCCCTTCAGGTCCCTTCTTCAGGTCAGTTTCCAAAAAGTGGAAAACCTGGTGCACCTGAGGGGCACCTGCCCTGTGTGCTGGGTCCCATGGGGCTGCGCAGCAGTCTGAATACAGGTGTGACTTCTGCCCTCCTGGATAAGGAGAACCCGAAAAAGACAGTAACACACGGAAATGGGTTCATCTCCAGACTCAGCCGGCCCTAGTGCCGTCCAGCCCACCAGTGACCAGGAAAGGCCAGTGATGTGGCTCCTGTCTTATCCCAATTTTACTCAGAAAACTGAGACAAGGAGAAAAAAGTTTTGTGTAAAAAGATGCTAGCTGTCTCCACACACACCATGGATAGCTGCACTCCTCTTTCTTGGACACAAGTAGCCACGGGTGACTTACGTTAGAAATCATAATTTCAGTCTGAACCTCTTTAATTTCAGGTGCTCAGAGGCTACAAATGTTAGTAGCTCCAAATGCTACAGCTATAGAAAACTCTATAGCTCTGTGGCAGAGGTTGCCACACCTCTCCAAAATTTGAGCCATTGTCCATGTTGTAAAGTTTTGTGCGTGCGTGTGTGTGTGTGTGTGTGATAGCCATACGTAGTTCCTTACACACTACCTATAGATACTTTTTTTTTTTACATAAATGTCTGTTAGCACTGCTATAGAGCAGAGGTGAGCAAACCACAGGCCATGACTCATATCTGGCCTACTGCTTGTTTTTATTAATAAAGTTTTATTGGTATACAGACTCATTTATTTGTTGACATATTGCATTTACCTGCTCCTACTTGGCATAGGCAGCCATGCCATTACTGTATGAGAAAAACATTATGCCTCTCTTTAGATAAAAGTCTCACAGGAGAGTCTGACACCATTGATCTAAAACTCACTTGCAAATGGGGAACATCTCTCTCTTCCCCTCTCTCCCTCCCTCCCTCCCTCCCTCCCTCCCTCTCCCCTCTCTCCTGGGAACACTTTTATTACAAGTGTTCAAGCCCTATCCTAACCCCATGGAAATACTGGGAGTGGAGCCTGAGAATCCTTGCATTGGACAACCTGCCAGGGGATTCTGATACATGCTCAAATTGGGAATCTCTGTTCTAACACACTCCTGAAGGAAGTGCCAGTAAGCTAGGCTGCTCATGGACTCCCATGGGTAATAGAAGGCTTGAGAACAATGTCGGCAGAGAGGCCATACGCTTTTTGCTCTTCCTGGAGTGAACCTCTGACAGCCCTAACACAGACCTGTGCCAACTAAGAGATACCCATGTGGATGCCTAGGCCCCACCGCCTGCGGGTCCCACCCTCCCGAGGAGCTGTCAGCGCTTTGGAGCTGCCTCCACGCATAAATTCATGGACCAGCTGTCTCTTTTAATCTGGTTGCAAGATGAAACCATTAATAGATGTCAGACACATTGGCAATGATCTCTTCATTAATAATTTCCTCCTTTCTGAGGGAAAAAAATTAGTAACAAGCAATCATCAATAATTCAGAAATACAAGTTAACCTTTCTATTAGCAGAGTCGCCGTGCACGCAGTACACACTCAGAGCCAGGAGTTCTGGCTGGAGTTGTGTTTTGATATTAATATGCATTAACGCTGTCTGTTAAGACCAAATATAAACAAGCCAACTGCAGCTTAGAACTCACAAGCATGCTTCAAGCGTGACCTCCTGACCCAGCCATTTGGTTCTGTAAAGGGGTGGATCAGTCAGTTGTCTTGCTATCTAAGAGAAGGCCTTCATGAGCAAACCCATTTTTAGCTGGAGACCCCTGTGGGTAGAAAGCTCTCCTCTAGGCCTGACTAAACATGCTGCAGTATGATCTCTCTCTCTCCCAAGCTGGCTCTAACCCCTGAGAACACTCAGTCTGGATGCACTTCCTTGGGATGCTGGGTGGGCTCCAGGTAAGCACTCCTGGATCCCACAGACCCTTCATCTGGCTGCCACCCCCAGGTCTGCCTTACCTGGCTCCTCTTCTCAGCTGCCGCATTTGCGTGCTACCCCCTCCCGGGAGGTCTCAGCATCTCCCCACTCCTCCATTCATTACCCGAGCCACCACAAACCCGCCACTTTCCCTCTCCAAATCTGCTTCCCCATCTGTGAAATCGGAGTGATTATCCTCACCTCACTAAGCTGCTGTGAGAATTAAGTAAGGCATGAACGTAAAC